ACCCGGGTACTATCTTTGCCTGGCTCTCTCTCTTCTTGGTGTATTCAGTGGGCAATAACACGGGGAAGTGAAAATCACCATAGGCCTCCACGCCATCACCTGGGCCATCACTTGTTTTCATTTGGTTTTCAAGGAACCCTGTACCGGGGTGACATCAGGCAGAGCAGAATGAAAGCGGTCACACCCTCTTCAGCAAGTTGAAATTAGCAGCACTTATTTCTTTGCTTAGGGTCCCAGGAAATCAGTCCCCATTATTAGAGAATAATAGATCCAGAGAGGGGCAGACACATGCCCCTGAAAACCTGCCCCAGCATTTTTATTAACCAGCTGAGTTTTGATTGGAGGAATAGGGGCAGCCTCGTTTGACCAAGACAGGCCTGGAGAAGGCAGAACTATGGGGCATCTCTGCTCCCCACTGGCCCCAGCACTGCTGGCGATGACCCTATTGCAGAGTGAGTGTGGGGTGGGGATGTAGTGACCAGCCTCTACCTTCCAGGGGGAGGGGAGCAAGATACAGACTGTGGGGGAAGGAATTGGGCTAGTGAATAACAGGGGACTCCAACCCTTGGCCCTCAATAGAGCCCCCCAGCCCATCCAGCCTGGATTGGTACATTCAATACTGAGCTGCCCCTCTCCGATCAATGGGGAGTGTTGATTCTTGAACCTACTGGTGGTAAATCAAATAGAAACACTGCTAAGAATTTTGACTGGTGCTGAGGATGGCAGGGCTGTTCTGGAGATAATGCACAGAGCTTGGGGATTATGGGTGGAGCTACCGGCACTCATTCCCCTCCACACACCTTCTCAGGTCCCAGCAATGCCTGTGCATAAACCCCCGCCACCCAACACACACATTAATATCTTTCCCTTCTCTGTCTTCACTCGCTGGGTACTCAGAGGATTTGGAATCAGACAGGTAAGACACCCACTGCAGAATGCCAGCCTGACTTGCCCTGGACACGTGCAATGAGAATGAGGCTGGGAGCCAGGACTCCTGGGTTCTCTCCCCAGCTCTGAGAGGGGAGTGGGGTCTAGTGAGTTAGTGTTACAGTAAAATAGCCCCATGGGAATGTTTTAGTTTCCTGGGGAGGCAGATTAGCATTGTATGTTGCTAACGCTGTTGCAGGCATTGCAAGGCAGTTTGGGAAAACGGGTTCAGAGGTAGTCTCAGCACATCAGGTGGCAGCTCCCAAGGGGTCTTCTGTGACCCAACCTATCACAGTGGCGTAGTCGACCAGGGTCTGTGCACAGCTGATTGCTTTGAGTTTTGGGTTTGGTGGCTGGAGAACAGGTAAAGTGGTTACTGGTGTGTTATTTTCTGTTTGCTTTTTTTCAGGGAAGGGAATAGAGGCAGGAAAATCAGCAACAGGAGTGAGAGCGAGGCTCAGAAAAAGCTAGAACTGCATAGGCTTAAAATAGCTGAGAAAGAGAATAAACAGAAAAGTGAGATGGAATTAAACCAAATGGAAATTAATGGAGAGGCAGCCAGGGAGGAGGATGCCCACAAGAAGGCTTTGGAAGCAGAAGCAGCCAAGGACAAAAGAGCTCTGGAGTTAAGAGACAGAGAAATAAAGGTCCAGATTGAGGGCCAGAAGCGTGAACTGGCTGTTAGGGAGGGGAAGAGACAAAACCCTCCAGCTGCTGGCTCCACTTCCCCAAAAATCCACAAATGGGAGCGACTGTGTCCACAGTATGATGAATCCAACGATATTGCTGAATATTTCATCACCTTTGAGAGACTGTGCATGCTCCATGAAATTCCTGATGATCAAAAAATGACTATGTTTATGGCAAAATTGACTGGAAGAGCTCAGGACATATTCAATAAGATGCCTAGTGATGATGCTTCAAACTATGGTAAATTTAAGGAACTGGTTTTGAAACAGTTTCAGATTACACCTGAAACCTACTGGGTTAAATTTAGCAGTCTTAAAAGGAGATCTGGATTGCGTAATGTGGCTTATGTAAATGAAATGAGAGATTTGTTAGACAAGTGGGTAAGGGGGAAAGGATTACAAGCTGGGAAGAAATGTGTGATTTGCTTACTCAGGAACAATTCCTGAATTTGTGCAGTGATGATGTAAAACAGTATTTGTGGGACAAAAACGTGGATGCATTGCGTGGATTGGCTGAGTTCCTCTTTTGAGCAGTCACAAACTGCAATTAAACATAAACCACTGGCAGAGGGGTACAGGGTTGGTGGAAAGCAGAATCACCGTTTTACCCCTGGGAAAAAGGAGGCTGAGCATTTACTTCCCCATTCCCCTGTTACTCATCCCAAATCTCCTGCATAAGCAAGGGGAGCGCAAGAGGTGCCATCATTGTAAATCCACTGAGCAGCTGAGGAATAGATGTCCTTGGCTGAGTGGAAACAGGCAGCAAGTAACACATGAAGCTGCTATTTTTCAGAGCACGGGCGTAGCCCAGGCTGCTGTCCCTTTCCACACAGGATTTGTAAAGGTTGCTTCTTCCCCACCAAGCAGTGAGCATATGTATGTGGTTAAACTTAATGGTAAATTACTCGTTGGATTGAGAGATACGGGTGCCGAGATTTCTGTGGTCAGGAGGGACCTGATCCAGGAGAAGGATTTGTTGCCAGGGAAAATGGCAGATTGAACTGGTGGGAGGTTACAAAGCCCTTGCACCTTTAGCTAAGGTACACCTGGAAACAGGTGAGTTGTAGGCTGAGCTGACTGTTGCAACAGTGGCACACAGTTTTGCACTGTTTCTACTGGGGAATGATTTTTTTGATGTGGCAGAATCTGTCCCAGGATTGGTTAGCAGCAAGAAGGAATCTTGCACTGGAAGCTCCAGAGGGAGGGTGAAGTCACATGTTCTGCTGGGGAAATAAGAGAATTTCTCTTTAATTCCTCTGTAAGAGTGGAAAATGCAGCTTTGGGGGAAGGGGCGGTTGAAAGCAGTTCCTGTAGCCCCGGGGCTCAAGGCAAGTCCCTGATGGAGGGGCTGGATAGAGTCAGCTCCTGTCCTGTGATCTTCTCCCCGGGGGAGGGGGATGTACCACCTTGTAGCAAGGAGGCCTTCCCAGCTGCTTACTGCCAGGAAGTTACAGGTCAGCAGGGGACAGGTCCTGTCCTGGGGGGCACAGAGACATGTATCCCGGAGATGGAAGTTTGGGTCCTGGTGACCGCTGCACTGGGAACAGGCCCCAGGGACGCTGTAGCTGGAAGCAAGCCCAACCTGAGGGAAAGGGGGGGGGGGGTTTGCGGGCCAGTGAAGGGTCTGTCATAGCTGGTAGCTGTGAGCCCACAGCTGGACTAGGGTCACCTTCCCTTTTGGGGGACACGGGAGTGTCTGACCCAGATGGGAGCCCAGAGAGGGAAGTCCCGATGGAAAGTGAGGTGGGACAGGGAGATCTGCCCACCTTTTGTAAGGAGGGTGAAAAATCTGTATCTAAAATGCCAGATCCCTCTCCTGTGGATCAGGTGTTAAGGGAAGACTGGGTGTCAGATCTCCTGGAGGGGAGAGCCGACCCAGCTGATCTGTTGGGGGCAGAGTCAGGTAACCGAGGGAATCTTACCAATTCAAAGCACTCCATTAAAGAATGTTATTCCGCCTTCCCTGTCTTTTCAAGGCTGGGGGGGAAGAAAAACTTTGCATTTGGGAAGCTTCACAAGGGGGTGGGGTCCAACCCAAAGAAATTCCAGAGGGAGGGGCCAAGGGCAGGCATGGTTGCAGTGCACCCGTTCCTTAACGGAGCCTCAGCACAGGCCTGAATGGAAAGCCTTCTCCAAAGAGGCAGAAGAATCTGCATCAGAGCACCTACCATGGTACACAAAGGAATTGGGAAATGCAGTCGACACTAAACAAGCTAAATTGTGTGACCAAAGCCTGTCCGCCGTCCATTTCCTCTTAATCTTGTGTCTTTTGCTACTTCATCTATGGGTCAAGACAAAGGAGTTAATCCTAGTGGTTAACACTTTAAAAACGTGGGACATACCTGCTTTGTGGGAAAAAAACTTTTGTAAAGACTTCGATCTGTGTTTGCAGCAGGCTGGCGTGTCTGGCTCAAACAAGGCAGGGTACTGAAGTCCCAAGCTGGAAGGGAAAATGGGCTCAGAGGTAGTCTAGGCACTTCAGATAGTTGAAGGCTGCTATCAAATCCCCCCTCACTCTTCTCTTCTGCAGACTAAATAACCCCAGTTCCCTCAGCCTCTCCTCATAAGTCATGTGCCCCAGCCCCCTGATCATTTTCGTTGCCCTCCGCTGGACTCTTTCCAATTTGTCCACATCCCTTCTGTAGTGGGGGGACCAAAACTAGACGCAATACTCCAGGTGTGGCCTCACCAGTGCTGAATAGACGGGAATAATCACTTCCCTCGATCTGCTGGCAATGCCCCTACTAATACTGCCCAATATGCCGTCGCCCTTCTTGGCAACAAGAGCACACTGCTGACTCATATCCAGCTTCTCGTCCACTGTGACCCCTGGGTCCTTTTCTGCAGAACTGCTGCCTAGCCACTCGGTCCCTAGTCTGTAGCAGTGCATGGGATTCTTCCTTCCTAAGTGCAAGATTCTACACTTGTCCTTGTTGAACTTCATCCGATTTCTTTTGGCCCAATCTTTCAATTTGTCTAGGTCACTCTGGACCCTATCCCTACCCTCCAGCTGCAGGAGGCAGCGGGTCTGTGCACATTGCAGCTGTCTCGATAATGAAAGATGGGGCACTCGCGTGCCGCAGAGAGGGGTGTGTAAGTTGCTCACTGGCAGAGGAAAGTGCAGGGGTTGGGGAGCTCAGAGCGGAGTGTCAATGCTGTCAGTATCCGACAGTTGAGGGTGAATTTCCCCCAACTGGCCACAGGCACGTCTCTTCCACACTGTGAGCAGGTGATAGTGGTTCACCCTGGACACCTTGGGTAAACCCGCAATGTCACAGGCAGATCCCACCTCTCCGAGTGATGGGCTCAGGCTCTCTGCAGACTCAGGCAGTGACGCTGTGTCAGTTACACTTGGTGCAGTTCACACCTCTCCGAGCTGCGGTTTCAGGCTCTCTGCAGACGCAGGCAGACATTGCTGCTCTGATTGCCCTAAAAGGGGAAGAAGGAGCAGGATACTGGTCAAGCAACCAGGGAACTGGAGCAGTTTCATACCCAATGGCAGTGAAAAGCTCGAAAAAGGAGCTGCTCCTGGAGCCCTCTACAGCTGTCAGCTTAGGATGACCAGACAGCAAATGTGAAAAATCAGGCCAGGGGGTGGGGGGTAATATATAGGATTCTAAGAAAAAAACCCAAAATCAGGACTGTCCCTATAAAATCAGGACATCTGGTCACCCTATGTCAGCTTCAGAACAACCTCTAGTGACAGCAAGGTCCTCACTGAGAAAACTGCAGTGTGACTCTGCAGCTGTCACCCAGCCACCCCACCCCAGCATCAGCTGCAGCTCCGTGCTGGTTGTATGTCCCCTGAGAAGCATTGCAATGATGCAGGGCTTTCGAGGGGTTTGTTTGCTATCTGGTTTTGCAGCCAGTATGAATTCTGCTAACCCTCTTGTTTCTCTGAAAGAGCAGTTCCCACAGTGCTTTCGCTTTCCACCCGCGAGAGACAGGAAACAAACCTAAGGAAGGGTGGAGGGTGTTATGGCCAACTACTGATATACATCAATGCAACCTGACAGCTCTCACCGATGTCTCTGCAGCTCGTAATAATGTGATCGCTGCCGTCTGGTCTCGAAGCCTGGGATCCACAGCGAAGACATTGGGATGTGGAGAAGTGAGTTGCCCTTAGCAGGGATCAGAGTTAGCACCACATTGAGGTGTATTGGGGCCAGCTTGCACCCCTCTCACAGCCGTTGTGTCAGGCTCTCTGCAGAGGTTAAGGAGTGGTTCACCCCATCTTTAAAGAACCAGAAACTGGGAAATACCAGACAGGAGACCATCAAACAGGAGGTGTCATAACTATAAAGGGAAGGGTAACAGCTCTCCTGTGTACAATACTATAATCCCTCCTGGCCAGAGACACCAAAATCCTTTTACCTGTAAAGGGTTAAGAAGCTCAGGTAACCTGGCTGGCATCTGACCCAAAGGACCAATAAGGGGACGAGATACTTTCAAATCTGGGGGGGGGGGGGACAGGCTTTTGTTTGTGGGGTTGCTCACTCTTGGGACTGAGAGGGACCAGACATCAATCCAGGCTCTCCAAATCTTTCTGAACAAGTCTCTCATATTTCAAACTTGTAAGTAATCAGACAGGTAAGGCGTGTTAGGTTTATCTTTGTTTTCTCAACTTGTAAATGTTCCTTCTCCTGAGAGGATTTTACCTCTGTTTGCTGTAACTTTGAACCTAAGGCTAGAGAGGGTTCCTCTGGGCTCTTTAAATTGGATTACCCTGTAAAGTTATTTTCCATCCTGATTTTACAGAGATGATTTTTACCATTCTTTCTTTAATTAAAGTCTTCTTTTTAAGAACCTGATTGATTTTTCTTTGTTTTAAGATCCAAGGGGATTGATCTGGACTCACCAGGAACTGGTGGGGGGAAAAGGAAAGGGAGGGAATGAGCAGTGTTCACCAGGGAATTGGTGGAGGAGTCTCTCAAGGCTACCCAGAAAAGGGAGTTAGCACATTGAGAGTGGTGGAAGCAAAAGCAGATCTAAGCTGGTAGAGAAGCTTAGAGGTTTTCATGCAGGTCCCTACATCTGTACCCTAACGTTCAGAGTGGGGAAGGAACCTTGGCAGGAGGGTTCATACCCAATGGCAGTAAAAAGCCCGAGCAAAGAGATGCAGCCTACAGAACACTCTGAACAGAGCGGGGCTCATATGGCAGTGAGTTCCAAACATAAAAGATCCATTCATAAATATATGAAGAACCCACCCCAGAGGTGGCTGCATTGCTGTGGTAGGAGGTTTTTTTTTTAAGATCTAAGAAACATCTCGTTCCTTTGAAGAGGCACCTGCCAGATTATCAAAACAAGAAATAGACCAGATTTGTTTTGTATTCATTTGCTTCCCCCCTCCCTGCCTCCCTCCCTGAAATCAACGGCCTGCTAAACCCAGGGTTTGACTTCAGTGCTTGAGGGGGCCATTCTGTGTGACAGTTGTTCGTGTTTCTCCTTGATGCAAAGCCACCACCTTTGTTGATTTTAATTTCCTGTAAGCCATGTCATCAGTTGCCCTTCCCTCCGTCACAGCAACCAACAGCAGACAATCGTTTCGCGCCTTTTTCCAGCCCAGACGCCATAGCACCGGGATCATGGAGCCCACTCAGATCACCACAGCAATTATGAGCACTATAAGCACCACGTGCATTATCCTGGAATATACGCAGAACGAGAACCTGCCAAAGCAAAACCAGGCGAGGAGGCAACTGCAGCGCGGTGACGAGAGTGATGAGGACATAGACATAGACATAGACTTCTCACAAAGTACGGGCCCCAGCAATGTGCACATCATGTTGTTGATGGGGCAGGTTCTACCCATGGAACGCCGATTCTGGGCCCGGGAAACAAGCACAGACTGGTGGGACCGCATAATTTTGCAGGTCTGGGATGATTCCCAGTGGCTGCGGAACTTTCGCATGCGTAAGGGCACTTTCATGGAACTTTGTGAGTTGCTTTCCCCTGCCCTGAAGCACCAGAATACCAAAATGAGAGCAGCCCTCACAGTGAAGAAGTGTGTGGCAATAGCCCTGTGGAAGCTTGCAATGCCAGACAGCTACCGGTCAGTCGGGCATCAATTTGGAGTGGGCAAATCTACTGTGGGGGCTGCTGTGATCCAAGTAGCCAACGCAATCAAAGAGCTGCTGATATCAAAGGTAGTGACTCTGGGAAATGTGCAGGTCATAGTGGATGGCTTTGCTGCAATGGGATTCCCTAACTGTGGTGAGGCGATAGACG